AGGCATAGTGTCATACAGTGCCTACGCAACCCTCTGCCCTTTGCTTTTCTGATAGCCTCTTTGCTCAACTTCCTTCACAGCTCCTGTCTCTGAGTTCCTAAAGCTAAAAGAATGTTTTCTTCAAATTTCTTGGATCCAGCCCCTTGGCTTGTAGATATGGCTGGAGTTCTTTTCAGCTGTAGTTCTGCTAAGGTGACTAGAAGGAAATCAGTATGCACATGTTGAGAAATATTGATGATTTGGATAGTAAAAGGCAAGCAAGGAGTTTTCCCCAAGTTTTTCTGTGTGTGTATATATATGTAAAATATATACGTGTATGTGTATATATGTACTTGTGTATATATATCTATGAAGGTGTGTCTGAGTTGCTTCTAGGCTTTTCAGCAGCTTCTAGCATAAATGAGGGTTTTGGGATGGGACGTTTGAAAAGCTGGAGGTCTCATGGGGTAATGTGTTGTATGTAGTATATTGATAGCATACATGCGGTAATTATTGTTTGGTTATTACAGGCAGCAGTGATTTATATCATTCTGAGAGTGGCAGATAGTCAGAGAAGGTGACCGTACTGTGATTTTCCTTGAAACAACATTGTCTCCATCTCTGGTATCTGAAGGTTGTTGAGAGCAAATGTGGAAAAGTACTTTACTCTGGCAGGAGAAAAAGCTGTGCTTATAAAAATGTGTGTACTCGTTGCCAAAAGAACAGCTGCTTGGAAATGTCACTGAGGCTTTGCCAGAGAAGCTACTGGAGCTCTGTGCCAAGATTTACCAAAAAAAGGAAGGATGATTGTTCTCCAGTTCTCACAAAAAAGTTCAAACTTAGAGCCCCTGAGCTAGAAGCAATTGTATAACAAAGGTAACACGGTGATGACAAATAAAGGAAATGCAATTTCTGGTAAGCATGTTAATGAGGGAAGATGACACAGTACACTTGAATTTCTGAAAGGATTAATGCATTCAGATTACCTTGCTCTACTGGGCAGTCCTACAGTGACAGACTGGTCATCCTAGCAGAGCGCACTGTGAGAAGTGTGGAGAAAATAGCAGTTTGAATAAAGTGTATAGGAAAAATTGAATAACAGTTGTTTGTGCTTTATAAATCTGTGCTTAGCATCAGAAATAAAAACTCCTTACTAAATTTTAGGAGTAGAGATCTTCCTTCCCAAATTCTGTATCATTTATGAACTTGTATTGTGATACATGGAGGTACAGTAAAGTATTGGTGCCTGCACCCCTGCATTTGAATAGTCCTAAAGCAGAATGGGCAGGGCAAGATAGTAGTTGGAAGATAAAATTCTGGAGTAGTTTGCTTTCCTTAGGAAGGCTTCCTGCGCTTTAAGAAAACTTATTTTGGATGTGTTTGTTTTTCGGGAAGTCTTTATGCACTTTGTGCCTATTTGTGAATTGTAGAGCAGTAATGAAGTGACTCCTGTTTTATTCAGCACACTGCAGTGAGCTCTTGTGCTTATATGCAAGATTTTATTACTTTTTTTCAATATCTTGATTCAGTTTCCATAAATCAGTTTTATTTATGTTGTTTTATATTCTTCTAGCTTCTAGCATTTTTTTTGTTAGTCTTTTTCTTTAGAGATTTTTCCCCCTCCCAAATTTAGTGATCTCTTTTAAATATTTTTCCTGCAGTACTTGGTAAGCAATGAATCTTTAAGTGGATGCATTGAATTCTCAGATAAATAGAGGGATAAAACCCAGCAGTGTTGATCCTTTTTCATTTTCCCAATAGGGTGACAGATAAATTAGTCCCTGTAGTAACAGAATCATAGAATAGTGTAGGTTGGAATGGACTTAATATTTTACATTATATACACAAAAGTGTGTGTGTGTCTGTGTAAATGTGTGTATTTTAGGATCCCATCCTTTATCTATCTATTTATGGACACATTGGTTTCATATTCTTAACTGTGGCTGATGATCATCTCTTCAAGCAACTTCCGTAACTCATCTTGTGAGGAAAGACAGTTCTTCATAAAACTCAGTGCGTTTAGAGAGCAGGGAATTTTAATAAGGGGCACTACAGGTTCATTCGTACCATCAGTTGACAGTTTGAAACCCTGAAACATCTCTGTTTGCTCAATGTCCAGTTAAGGGTGGTAGCAGAATAACTTGTGCAAGGAAAGTAAAAAAGCTTTGAAATGTTCAGTTTCATCATTGACTGACCCTATCAGTGTCATGGGAAATATGAGGATTGCTTGTTTTCAGAAGTACTGAAAGGATATCAATAAAATACTGGATGAGTTGCACAGCAGTTCATTGTAGATGTTCTGACAAGAATGATGCTCACAAAAGTTGATGGCAAATTTACTTCTGATTTAAATAGGCATTTGTAGCTGGAGAGATAAAGCATCAACATAAGCATCAACATATAATTCTGGCTATAATCAGAAAAATGGCCTATGGGTGATCATCTGACTAAACAAAGGACAGACATGAAAACCTTCTGCAGCAAATTTTATTTTCATACATCTTGATAAAAATTCAGATTTTTCTGTACATTGAATAGATATCTATAACCTTCCATTTTTTTTACTTTATCTAGAATATCAGGTGCATACTTTCAGATAGACAAAGTGTCAGATATTTGTTTGATGATGCCATATCTAGAATATAAATATTAAAATATGTGATGATCTTTACAAATCACTGAGTTGTCTAATTCTAATTTGAACTATTTCCTATCAACATAGTTGATGAACAAAAGTACTACTATAAGAAGTCACTCAAGTTATATTGATTGTAACTATCATTTGCCAAAGTTTATGCTAAGGAGTTAATATGGTTATGAAATGAAAAGAAAATCACAAATGCATTAACGAAAATGACAACAATTAATTTTTAACCATTACTTTAAAAACAAGCAGGTGTGGCATGAATCATCCAATGAATTACCCCCCCAAAGCCTCCTGTTTTGACTTTGATTCTAAAAATTATCTTTGCAGACCTTGCTAAGCCTTGCTTTTCTGAAGGCAGTGTTATGAAAACATAAGAAGTAGAAATGAAAAATACAATCCTGTTTTAAAAAGATTTCTCTAAGTCCCTACTCACACATGGTCAACAGAAAAACCCTGGTGTCTTGCAGGACTGATTCAAAAGCTTGTACTCTGCTAACCTCCAGATATCATACAACACATTTCAAAAAGTTTAATGCTGAAGTGGTATTCTTGCAAAAGGCTGTAGTGAGTATACATGCTAATCTAGCAAAATGGATGGATGTGTTAGAGCAGATTATTAGTGAAGGTTGGAGCAAGTGAAAAATGCAAGGAAGAAAATAGTCGATTGCTGTCGGAGGTTGAGGAACACAGACTAATTGTCTTTTACAGAAATCCTTTTGCTTTAAAAATGTTTGCTCGTTCTGAGTAGGGTTGGTGGCAGAGGGGAATCCCAGAGGATCTAAAGACTGAAAACTTAATTGGATCAGTCAGTTAAAACTAAGGCACTTGAAGTAAGCAAGGGATCATCTAGGATATGCTGAGAAAAGTCAGACCTCTAAGACTCAGTTAGTTTGACATGTATTATAGGAAAATAACTCTCATTTTTAAGATTTGAGCCGCAGAGACACATTGATCCTTTCAGATGGGAATATGTACAATGTAATGCAGAAAACCTGCTTGTTTGTTTTTTCCTGTGAGGTTGAAAAGCCCTGCAAAAAGCATATTGATTAATTTCCTTCTTATAATACCTACACAATCCCTCTCATTGGCATAATTCCAATCTGCTAGAAGTATTTGGTTACTTCATGTCCCATGGTAGTATGAGACTGGATGCTCGGAGGCCAAGTAGGTTTTATATATGTCTTTTACTGGCAGCTTTCTACTGGCCACTTGTTCAGTGCTCATTCTGTAGCTATGTAATTACGCTCAAAGGTTGCAGGGGGAGTGTGTGTGATTTTTGTTTTGTTTTTTAACCAGCACATCTGTTTAATGCTGTATTAACAGCTGTACAAATTGAATTGATAATGCAGCATCCAATTTTAATTTCATTGAGCAGTTAGGAAAAGCAACCAGTGTAGAAAAGTATGTTGTAAACACCACACACACACTCTTCTCTGAGACAGATTTCGGCATTTGATGTACTGCTTCAGACTCAAGCCCAGGTACTGAGCAACTTTGATCTCATGCACATAGCAATGAATAAAGGTTTTTGCCACTGTCTTACATAAGTGGGCTGTGGAAGCAGGGGTCACAGGAAACAGGCTAGATTAATTTCTCATGGGTTGCAAAACTGGCTGAAATCCTGTACTACTGTAATTCTCAATTACTTGCTGACAGTAGGGAAGCATTCATGGAAGAGATCTCATCTGGCTTAATGGTGGAACAGAGTAAGGTTGCTACATTTGCTGGTACTGTTAAACTGGGAGGAGCTGCTGGCATATTAGGAGGACTGGGTTATCATTAATAACACTCTTGGCAACCTGGACTGCAAAAAGACTGAAAAAAATCAAGTCCTTTAGCACAAGAAAAAGTCTTCAAGTAGTTATGAAATAAAGGACAAGAATATTTTATTTCAGCAGCATATAGGAAAAGATGCAATAGCTTAATGTTGCAACAAGTTGTACAGCATACAACAAAGCCTTTAATTTAAAGGATAATTAAATATGGTAATAGGTGGCATACGAGAATTGCTTCATTGTTTAATCATCATAAGTCTTTAAGAACAGATAAGACAAATACTTGTTATGATTGATGAAACATTTAAATCTATCTTGCAGGTATACTGGACAACCTCTTGAAGTCTCTTAGGCTTGCTTGCTGTTGCTGTTTGGGTTTTATTTGTTTGCACTTTTACAGTGGAAAGAAGAAGGGTTTAAAAAAACCCACCACACACTTGGAAATGTTCTCAACCCACCCAAGTAGCTCATCTCTTCGTTCTTTACCCATTCAATTCTTAACAAAGGAAAGACAAAAGAAAGTACACCTTTGTAACCTACTTAAGTGTTCTTCATGAAGGGAGCATAAATACTGAAAATCAATTATTTTTTCTTTGCAGGTTACGAGATGACAGAATTAGGATAGAAAGGATGGAAAAACTCCATTTTGAATACAGCCATGCTTTCCAGCTGATTACTGATTTTTATGCAAAAGAAGTGCCTGATATTGCAGGTATGTCATTCAGAATGTCTTTGAAGCATGCATCCTATTAGCTTTTACACAGATAAGGGATACATGTGGGTGCATCCCATCAGGTCTCATAGACTTGTCTATGTCAAATTTGTTTAAGTGTTCCCTAACTTGATACTCCTCTGTTAAGGAGAAATCTTCATTGCTCCAGAATTTCCCCTGGTCTGAGAGACCTCAGATTCCTCAAGGCACATCTTACCAGTAAAGACCAAGATAAAGAAGGCATTGAGTTCCTCAGATTCTTCCATGTCCTTTGTCACCAGATCTGCCGCCCTATTCAGCAATGGGCCCACATTTTCCCTTGTCTTGTTTTTGCTACTGTGATGCACTTGTAGAAGCTCTTGTTGCCCTTTATGTACCTTGCCAGTCTCAACTCCAGATGGGCTCTGATTTTTCTAACCCCATCCCTGCAAGCTCAAACAATGTCTCTATATTCTTCCTGTCCCTGTTTCCATCTCTCATACTCCTCCTTTTCAATGGTTGAGTGAATCAGGAGCATCTTGTTCATCCATGTAGGCCTTGTGCCACCTTTGCTTAATTTTCTGCACATCGGCATCTTTTTTGAGTTTGGAAGAGGTGAACCTTGAAACTGAACGTTATTTAAATAGAAATGAATACAGGGCTAGCATCCCTTTTTTTCATGGCTTGAAGATGTGTGTTTAGTCAGATTTAAATTCACACATATATAGCAACTGAGGGAAATTATTCAACATCTGAAATGTTTCTTCAGGTTCTTGTGTGTGCTAACACTCTAAGAACAGCTTTAAAAAACATCTCTGAAAAAACTTAACTAAATAGGGTTTTGAAAAATACCATTTTATGTTGAGATATAATGCAGTGAATTTTCCTATTGTTGCAGCTGGAACAGGGACTGTAGTAGAGCACTGTTTAGAAACACTATCAAATATGAATAGCTGTCTCACAAAGGTAGAACCATATTCTTCAGATAGGCTGAGGCAGATAAATCATCAGCACGTGTGCCAAGGCCTGTTCATTCCTTTTAACTTGCACAGATGTTGCCTGCAGTAATGGAGATTTCAGAATTCAGTTCTTAGTCTGTTTAGAAATTTCTTATGCCAACAGTTAGTCATTTTTATGAAGAAAACCCTGTGGAGTCAAATGTTTTATGTTTCATAATGTATTTACATTATTGTAATGTTCTACATTCTTTGGAACCATAAATGTGATTTTGGAACCTCGCTTTATGTTGATTTATAAATATCATAGAACACTGTATATATATTACAGATTTCTAGTTGATTAAATTGAAAAATGTTTTTTCTAAAATACTTAAGTAGTAAACTGTGAGTTAACAAGAAAATCACTTTCTTTCTTTTTTAGGTCCTCAAAAACTATCTGTAATACTAAGCTTGGATAAGCCTGTTATTTGCTCTCTGGCAGCAGTAATTGCATACCTCAAAGAATTTAATTTGGAAAAAATGCTTTACAATCCAAGGTAAGTTGCCTTATATAAACTCCAGTTCAAAGCACCAATACATGTGCAACTGTTACTTGTAAGTTTTATCAGACAACTTCCCTTCAATGTAAGGAACGCACCTGCTAGAGTGATAAACATAGTATTTGTAAGAATTATACCTTACATTTAAGCTCCTAATCAGAACTGAAAGAATCAAGTGATTTCTTTAAGTGGTGTTTCATGAAAATCTTTATGAAGTATGTTTGTCTAGACATTACTATCAGTAATGTAAATGAACATGTACTGCTGCCAAGTGTTATTGAAAACAAACAAGGTGCAAAAACTGGTAGATACTAGGGGGGGAATTTTAAAGTTTGTTAATCAATATCAGCCATCATATCTCAACCTCAGTTTTACTTTGTGAACAGAATTTGGTGCTTTTTTGGCAGCTTTTTTAAAAAAAAAATAAATACTGTAATTTAGCTTTGCAGATGATGTTTTATTTCCAGAGGTGCGTAAATAATTTTCTCTTTCTATAGCTCTACAAGCAGGTATAAATGCTAATGTGTTGTAATGTTTAGACAGTACTCAGCAGGTCTGTTTGAATGAATCTAGTTACCAATTATAAAGAAAACAGACGTTCAACATATCCTGGCTTTCTGAAAAACCCCTTGAGTTGGCTCAGTGGTAGCTAGGACTGGGGAACAATCATGCAAAAAGTTGTTGATAGACCTCACCATTTGTGCAAAGTTACTACAAAACCACACAGGCATGGAAATAATCTTGTCTTTCCTTAAGTAGTCCCAACACTTAGGTTTATTAGATGTGCTCAGCTGGGTACTCAAAATCTGTAACAGGATTATGCAGGTGGAATCAAATGAAAACGGAAAGATACTGCCACTCAGGCATCTTTTTATCCTGTCTTGCACAAGTATAAAAGATTGCTATCCTGGCTTAGGTTTGAAAATATCATTGAGGCTTATTAAATGCTTTAATAAAACAGCTTTATATGTCATGGATCCTGTACAAAGTATTGTCTTGGTTGTCTCAGTGTTCCTCTGTCCTGTAAATAGGCAGGATTTAACAAGGTCTGGCTACAAACTGGAAACTTAGAAATATATTTTGTCAGTTGTAGATCATTCACATGTTGTATGAGATTCTTGAAGTCTCAAGCCTTATTTTGAAGGGCTCCCTACATTACCAGCTTTTTTTAAAAAAGCAGCTGCATTTAAAAAATTGGCTGCAGATGTCAGCTTTAAACATTTCTCTGGTATCTACTAAAATATTTGGAAATTATATATACCTGGGTTTTCTGGATTTTGGAATGGCTATTCTTCCTTAAGTTGCCCTTTCCCTCTCCAAGTACTATTAAAATGTTAAATGGAATTCCTGTGGCATCTTCTAAGCCATCTCCCCTGTCTCATCCAGCAAGGAGCGCTCTGATCTGTGGTCTTCCAGCACTGTTTTGTTCGTGCTCATCCTCTTGGTTGGCCTTCTGGAGAAATCTTGTTGTGAGAGTTTGTGAAGAAGAAAGTGAACTCTAAGGAAATGCCATTCCATGGTCACACTTGTACATCACTATTGTCACAGTGCCTTATGTGCAATGACACATAAGGTGAATATTCTTTCAGATGGGGGAAATAAAAAATCCATCTTTTATGTAGAAGTAATTCAGTAGCAGAGGAGGAACATCATTATGTGAAGGCTTATCTGGTAGCAGGCAGTCACATTTATAATAGCTGCATCTTAAAATCAAGTATAATTACAGACTGGGAAGGAAAGGCACTAAATCTTAGAGCTGACATTTGCCTGCTGAAGGTTGCTCTAATGGACTGTATGTGAATGTATGAGCATCTGAGTGGAAAGGCAATGAAGAATTTGGTATCCTGGTGATATGCTATGAAGAAATAAAATACATTCTTTGAGATAACTTTGTTCCTGTGCTCAGGAGCTTGGATTCTACTATATTTATTTCTAAAGCCTTTACTGCTTTGACTACCTGATGCTGAATTCTACCTCCTGTTTTTAGTGTGTCACATATATTGAAATAGCAAGCCAAATACTGAGGCAGACTCAACTTCAGTATTTTTCTTAATGCCATCTAAATACTATCTAAATACTGAACAGGGAAAGCCTTTTAAGAAAGGGTGTCAGGCTCATGGATCTTCTGTGATTCTGAAGGAAACAGAAGAGAAATACTTCCATTGCACTGTCAAGCAACTTAAAATTCCTAGGAGAATTCAGGTCAGTGAACATACTGGAGTCAGTGAGCATGAAGTCAGAGTTGTGAGATAGTTTTTAGTTTATTGATGTAAGTGACACAGACCTGGATGAAAAAGACCTATTTGATAGGAAGAATGGCAAAAAAATTCCTTACGCCTCTGTACCTTTGTCGGATAAACACTCTTCTCCCAGCTGAACAAAATTGCAGCTCAATTTAATAGTGAGAGTCATGAAACATCACGTAAGCAATGAGGGATCCTCACTACTGGGGGGGAAACTAGTTTTCTTTTACTATTTAGATGAAGCTTCTAAATCCACTTTTAAGATCCTAAATAAAGCAAAATATTAAAAAGAAAAAAAGATTTTTGCCACAGCAGAACCCTGGGATATGGATAGACTGCATTAGAGCTCCAGTAGCAAGTAAAAATAGATTTAACAATGAATGATACAAGCTTTTTTTAATCAATGTGTTCTAATACCTTTACATACAGAGAGACCTTTACTGGCTTTTGACAAGAAGTTGGTACACATCTAGGAGAGGTTTTAAAATACAGTTGAGTACCCAGTTTTGCTTGAAAAATCATCATTTGCGTAGCAGTTGCTGGGAGATGTGTCTCGGTGTATTTCAATTTTACCGACACATTTTCCAGCATATTGGAGACGGAAGAGAGAGACTGTAGTTCTTAGATTTTGAACGGTGATAGATGAACTTCAAGAAATGCAGGGAGTGGAAGAGCCAGGTGTCTTTCTGAAGGAGGGGAGTAGTTTCGGGATAGGAGAACTACCAGCAGTGAAGATAGAAAACAGAAGCTGAAGTGAAAGAGGAGAGGGGAGGATTAAAATGGCTTCTAGGGAGGAGAGGAAAGAGAGAAAGAATTCAAGAAGAGGATGAATGTTTGATTGTACTTTATAATAGGGGTGGAAGGAAGTGGCAAGATGAAATTAAGAGAGAAGTAAAAATGTAAGTTCTTCAGCTTAAAATGATGGACATCCTTGCATTCCCAGGGGAAATGTTATAGAAATTGCGGCAATGATGTTCATAAGGCTTTTGTATCTCTTGGGTGCTGATGATGTCAGAAACATCATGTATACAGGACAATGCATAGGTTTATTTACCCACTATCACTATGAGAAAGGGAGTACTGAAATCATTTTGGGAGGTTTCAAAGGAAAGGCATGGTTTTCAGACACTAAGAAGAGATGCCATCTCTTTTGAGACCACAGAAGAAGGGCAGCAGGTGGGACCTCTTGCACTCTGGACGTTTGGAGCTTGTAGGAGTGCTGAGGCTGTGTGCAAGGGAAGCGGGCTGAGAGAGTGCAGACATCTGGGTGGAATAAGGTTGCAGGCCCACTCCTTGGGGTGAGTTCAGTGTAGAAAAAGACGACTAATTCAGGTTAAAAATGATGGAGGTTATTTTTGTTTCTCTTAATCCTTCCCAGATCCTCTCATATCTGTTCATACTCTTTGTTTTGTATTTCTGTTTTGTTTTGTATGTGTTTGTTTGTTTTATTTTGTTACTGGTTTAGCCGGAAGTTTCTGGACTCCTATCACATCAGGGATCCAGATCAGAAGTGCTAGTCCTGTGGCAATATTCACTAATGAATTTAAAACTGGTTAATTAAATACAAAACATAGTCTGAGCTTGATGTTCTTCGCTACTTAGACTGTGGTAAATGTCTTTCATGCCTAAAGAAAGCTAATGCTTCTGAGAAATTGAGAGACTTGTTTTTAATCCTTAAAGCTGAATAGGGATTCCTGCAACTCTTCTATAAATATATAGCTTTGTTCTGTTGTTTATTCACCCTTAGAAATCTCAAAGACATGGACTTGAGAGGTCTGTAAAAGGTAATTGAGCAAAGAAAATCTGCTTAGTAGGCTTTCAATATGGTGCCTTGCAGCTTTGCTGGAAAGTTTTTACAGATTTGCAAAATTAAAGTGGTTGAAAACTACTGATCTGAATAACATGCATTCACTTAGACTGGGTTACTGAGTACAAAATTATATATAATATCTCCTGTGGAGAGAATAATGAATAAAGCATAAAAAGTGCCCTTCACTGCAAGCTTCTCAGGAGGGAGGATGACCAAGCAGATCCAATTTCACAGGTAACACATAAGAATCAAAGTCTGAGGATGTAGTTTACTGTCCTAAAGCAATCATAGTAACCCTTTAATACTCATCATCAAGTGTGGTTCTCCTCTGAAAAGTAATTTTATGGGTAGGAACCTCTTTCTCATGAGTATTCCTCAGAAGCGTCCTAAATCTTAATAGAAGCTTGTGTTTATTTTTGTTTCCTTTTTTCATTTTTCTCAGCCCGGATGGCATGATCCTACCTTGCCTTGCTCCTCAGTAGTGGAATTGCCAGCTATTTCCATCACTTGTGTTTTGTGCTGTTTAAGTACTTGAGACAGTTACAAGTCTGTTCTTTGAAATTCAGGTTACACTGTCACCTACAGAAGGAGTTGTGATCCAGTTGAAGTGATTTTGAAGGCTCATTTTTACTGATACAGGAGATGGCTGATAGCAGCACATTAGAATTTCTCACAAGGAATGTGTTGACACCCTTGGTGCAAAACCAGCACTGACTTAATATTTGTTTACATCCTCCTTCTTCTGCCATTTGGTCCCTAAATTCCCTACAAAGAGTCTGTCTTTGTTCACATTTTTATCATGTTCTGATCCCAAGCTGAAGGAAGATGAGGGGGTGGAAGCAAAACATGTTCTTGCTGTGATATCTGGAATTGTATACTGCAGTTGATCTTGGCTATTATTCATATACTATAAGCTCTCAGTTACCAGGGTTAATAGCAGGGTGGAGTAACTCAGGTAAAGCAAACACCTGGATAATATAAGATACACATAACTTATGCTGTGAGAACAACTTTAGCATACCTGATTCTGAGAGAATAGTAAATATACTCTGCAGTGGAAGAGAGGTAGTTGTCTTTAAATACTACTGGAGAGCATGCTTGCTGTGAACAGAATACGCTCTGTGTTAACTGCTGTGAAGCCAAGTGAAGTGGGGAAACTCTAGAACCAGTAAATCCACAATCTTGAAACTCACGTGTGGGTGGTTGAGGGTTGATAGAAACAGACAAAAGCCTCCTGTTTGCTTTTGGGAGAGATAGAAAGGCATGGTTCTTACCCAGCTGGGTTTAAAAGATCACAGGCTTGAGTAGTGGCAAATCGAAATGCAGCAAATGGGGAAACTGCAGTTTAGGTGAGTGCTAGATGCAGATGATGTGCTTTTGGAAGAGTGGGTAGGATTTGTGGGTAGGATTTGTTGTTGATGATAAGGATTGGGAGCCAAGCAGAAATCATTCCTATTTAATTTTTGCCAGCATCAGCAGTTGTGACTGAAGATGATAAAAGGAAGTATTGTTTTGTTGCTTATAATATTGTGTGCTTTGGAAGTGCTGCTGCTTTTGCCTCTGAGGTTTTGTTTTGCTGATCAACTTTGTTCGTTGCTGGGATAGCACACTAGAGCAGAATAACTATGACTATGGGTACAGTTCTGAGCTGTACTTCCAAACTCTTATTGAACTTCTTGAGGGCACTCAGTTGAATCTACTTTTTTTTTTTTTAATTCTGTGGAGAATACTTCTAATTTGACCCATTATTTAGGAAAAAATTTGCTAGCAGGCCCAAACATCTGCATACAACATAAATATATAACATTAGTCTCTGAATATTTCATGTTTCTGAAAGTTTTAGTGCTGTTTTTGTTTTTAATATAGCAATAATGCAGCTGCATGTGCCTAACAGAAAAGTTTGAGCATTTCAGTGCTCCCCCAGAGAGTTTAAAATCGAATGTACTGAAAAAAATTTTGTGAAAAGTCAAGAAAGCAGTTTTAAATCCTACCCAGCAAGTCATTCTGCTTAGTCTCAGACAATGAAAACTGTCCTAGATTTTGTGCAAAAGGCAGTCAGCAGATTGATTAATCTAGACAATCATGACTTGATTTGTCAGAAGCATTTAGTGAGGATCTTGCACTTCACTTCACGGTCCTGACTACCACATGTGTATGTCTGAGACTGAAATAATTTTCATATCTAATATGATTACACATCTAATATAATTATTTTATTAATGTTGGTTCTAAATCAACACAACCTTTGGGTTGGTCTTATCCTATTCTGTTAGGGAATGTCAAAAAGTCAAGTAATTTTGGTCATGGTTATTTCATACTAAAAATAAAGTAAAATAGTTTAAATATACCCTATTTTTATTTTCCTAAATAATTGCACTAACAACCTGTTTAAATTTGTACTAGTAGTAAAAAATAAGAATGTGTATTTTGATACGCTGTTTTGATTATGAGTTGTATTAAAAGTCTGTTCCACTCTTGAAGTATTAATTCTTAGTCCTATCCCTGTCCCTAACCCTACAGTGATCATAACAGAACATTAGCAAAAGCACATACTTTTTCAATGTCATCATAGACTGAAGAAGGGCTACTTTCTTAACCCTTTAGTGGATCAGGATTAGATAACAGGAGAGCTGGATTTTATTCTGAGCTTTGTCAGAGTCATTGTAGGAAACTGGGAAGTGAATCATAAATCTTGTTTTCCCAAGCAGTAAATTAAAAGAAGTTATTAGTGTTCAGTTCTTTGATTTATTTGCATAGATTTTAATTTCTTTCTTGATTTTTTTTTTTATTTTGCATAACTAATTAATTTGCTAATGTGGGAAACTTGACAGTGTTTCACCATTACAGCTGTGCCCGAATTTAAAGTATAACATATGAAATTCCTCTCCCCAGCAATTTCAAACGGTTGTCAAGTGAAACTGAGTACATGACAATTAATGGGACAACAATGAAAAATCTCGAAATTTTACAGAATCAGGTAAGGAAAAATGTAATGTTTTTTAATAAATGCTGAGATTTTCACAGCTGCTTGACATACTGTTACGTGCTTGACATATTGTTACCCATGAAGTTAGTTAAGTTAGTTTGCAAATCTCACCCAGAAGGTTTAAATTATTTTAAATGTAATCCTCCTTCAGTTTGATCCCGTTTTCAGCGTCATAAATAAAAGTTGGTTTGTGCTGGCTTTTAGTATGAGTTAGGAACCTTATTGCACATTGACTAGCAAAGAACTTTCCTAAAGTTTGAGTTCTTGAGCAACTGCAGTCAAGTGATAGGACTGCAGCAGGGTTTGTTTTTTCTTTCGTGCTACTGCACAGACCTTTATACACAGACTTAATTTAACTTGTTTAATTTATTCTGGTCATTTTCTAAAAAGATTTTCTGGCTAAAGGAAAAACATACTTAAGTATTTTTTGACTGTTGGAGGTACTTTATGTAAGGCATTGTTGGTGAATAAGATCAGTAAACGAACATGCAGTTGCCATATCTTAAAGCCTAAACAGAATGTTTAAGTAGTGTGGTGAAGATCCTTTAACTACATAATTGATTGTTCAATTAAAAATAATGATGCTATTTTTATTATTTTAGACTGATATGAAAACAAAAGGAAGCCTGCTCTGGGTCTTGGATCATACTAAAACTTCCTTTGGACGTCGGAGATTGAAGAAATGGGTAACCCAGCCCCTCATGAAGTCCAGGTGAGATAGTTCTTTACCTTGGGCTAAGTTTGTATTTTAAAATTACAGTGTTGATCATGCCCAATGTATTCATTTTTCCTGAAGACTTAAGATCCATAGTAGAGTTTACGCAGGAAATTATTTGATAGAAGATGTGGACGTTATAGATAGGTTCAGAAGAGTTAAACCGCTCTGTTTGGGCACAGAACATCTAAGTAGTTCAGAGTAGTAGGTTTGGAGCAAGTCAGAAATTCCTATGCGGAAATCAGATTGGGTACCATTCTAATTCAGTATCCTTTTTCATACAATGGATGAGGATTACCTGCTATTGGAGGAGGTTTTATTCCTGAACTTACCAATTAATGTTTGATGTCTTTCTTGCTTCACAAGTATTTGCATTCTTAATGTATTTAATTTGTTCTAAAATAGTTGTGAATGTTTCTGTTATTCCTGTAAACAATATATTGCATGTGAAAATATTTCATTTCATTAGTTCTGAAATGTGATGATTGTTTGGTCGCTCTTGTATTTTGAGCTATGCTTTATTTAGTAATGCTTTAGAAATGCTTTGTTTTGTAATAGTATCATGCTTGGTCTTACTTCTGTCTTGAAATGGACTCCATCTTTTCTGATTTCTCTTTGCAGGCTTTATTGGACTGTCGTAGTTGAATATGTAGTAAATAACAGTATTGAGTCCATGGAATGTTTGTTGCCTACATTTTACATTTTTGTTTCTATTCCTTTGAATGTGCATTCCCTGAGCATTGTCAATGTAGATTTTACTCAGGTGTCACTTTGTACACTTCAGCTATAGCATACAGAAAATCCTTTTGGTTTGGTTACCTAAAATAATTTTTCCCTCTGTTTTACTTTTGTAAATATATTAAACAGTTTTAATTTTTGTTAATTTTTAACAGTTTTAAATAGTGATGTATACCAATGTTTTAGCATCTTAGCATTGTTGGTAATTTACAAATGTTTCTACAGAAGCTTTTTTTTTTCCCGCTTGGCCAATTTTTAGTCTATTAAAGCACTATACTTCTGAAGCATCACTGCTTAATTTTCTTATTAGCCTTTTTGTAAGGATCTTTTCTCAGTAGTGTAAGAAAAGCACATAACTATTTTTTCCCTCCTGTTTTTTTAATGTAGAATATTAGAGACATTTTTCATTTGTAGGAGCCATACTGGTTAGGCTGTTTCATGCTGCAGTTTCTGGCAGGGATTTAGTAAGTTGATTCCAGTCTGCCTTTTTTTTTTTTTTTTTAATTCTTCTGATCATAGCTTTTACATATCTTACTCACTTCAAAAAGGCTTTTGATGTAACAGTCCTAAATAGTATTAGACTTTATGGAGGTTGATTATGTGCCTGGTGTTCACCTTAAAAAGCATATACATAGAATTTCTGGGCCACTTTACAGGAATAAATTTAAATAAATTTGTTCATTTCTTTTCCTGCCCTTTTGGGAATTGTTTGTAAAGTTGTCAGCAGAGGGAGCCAGAGCACAGGCTCTGGGCTGGTGTGGTGGCAGCACGAGGATGGGACCTGAAAAGGAGTGCCTCTAACCATTTTGCTTCCAAATGATCACACATGTGATGCAGCAGGTGAAATACCATTCAACAGTAAAACAGAGAGAGTTCTTATCCGGACACAGAGGATAGAAAACTGGCTCGCCTGGGACTTCGGGCCTTCTTTCTTAGCCAGTAAAATTATTTTAAATTCTCCCTTGTCTCAGTGCAGAACTAGCTTTACAAGTTTGCAGTTTGGGTTTCTTCTCTTTCTCCTCTGCTCTTTGCTACTTCTAGAGATTGATACTTCTCTTTTTCAGCCTTCTTTCTCATTATGGAAGGAAGTTCTATGGTTAGAGATGACAATACTCCTTAGTTGAAGCTAAAAAAGCTATTTTGTTTCTGTGTATTTCTCCCTTTCTGACTCTAAGTTGTAATTTCATGTACTTAGTGCATCAGACATTTGGCAGTATTGTTTCCAGTAATGCACACAAATGCACTTAGAGAACATTCTGTAATTGTAATTCACCTGTGCCTCCTGGAGTGACGTTTTCAGAGTAAGATTTCTGTACTGCATCTTTTCCAGTTAGTGGGTAGTTGCATTTCCCTTGGTGTATCAAAAAGTGAGAAAGGGTGTAATTACTGCTTTATGCCTTATAGTTGAAAATCACTTGGGATGATGACTAAATTTCCAGGGGAGAAACCATACACTAGGTTGAATAAAGGTAGAATGTGTACAGGCAGCTCATTTGGACAAACTTGAAGATAATCCATTAGATCATCGGTGATGTAATACATTTAGAGACTAACAAGAAAAGGTTTTAAGCATTAGGCATGTGCGATTTAAAAAAAAAAAAAAAAAAGGCTTAACCAAGGAAGGTGTAATGTCGTCACTTATTCATCTAGGTATACAAAGATGATGAGATAAGACTGTATGAGTCATTGAGGACTGAGCTTTTTAGGAGGAATCAGGAAAGTCATTGTTTTTTGTAGGAGTTATATCTTTGTGGATTACAGAAGTGTTATCTCGCCTTGCCTATCTTGCCTTTGAAATGTAAGTTCCATTGAGTGCCTTTCTTGCTTAACTTCTGTAATGGGAGTGGAAGGAAAAGGAAATAAGAAAGCTGAGTTGGTTGGAACATTTTTGGCTGAATGAAACGTGCTGTTTC